TAAGATCCTGGGCAACATTTAAAAGAAGTAATCACTCCTATCTGGAAATCTTTCTAATAAAATCATTATGCTAGATTAGCAAACACATTTCAAGTATTAGAATAAATGCTATAACATTTTTTATGTAAACCATTTTATTATATTAGGATCATCAAAATATAATGAGTGCTCACTTTTTAAAACAGTTCTAATTTGGGTTAATCATTAGGTAATCTTTAGATATAACTTAACATGTCATTAATTAATAAACTATTAAACTAAAATAACTTTTAAAAAGTGATATACATTATACTCTGGTGATCCTAATATAAGGAATTGAGATACTATTATAATTCATATTAAAATTTTATGAGTAACTACAAACAAATTAAAAATCAGGGATTTGCATACACTCTAAACAGTTGATAGGAGATTAATATTAGGCATTCAGACATTCATGGTCTCTAGCTGCTCTGAGTTCCTCTGCTTCTAAGGGGGCTTAACAGAAGGATTTTATCTAACAGTCTCATAGCAAATGAATCATACAGTACCATGGATGAGATGAAAAGGAATAAATAGGATCTCTAAGCAATATAGTTGGACCAGCTTCTGGTCCAAAAAATTATCCCTTTTTACATAATACCTTCAAAGATACTATGTTAAATGTAAACCATTATTGAAAGAAGAATGTCTATGATTAAAAAAAATCTATCAGATACATATCATATCAATGATCTAAAAGAATTTGAAAATATTTTTCATTTACTGAAGTGGAAATGTGTTTGCCAAGAAGAAACTGTACTCCCCACCCTATCTCCCAACATCAGTCTCTGCTCAGTCCCCTGTTGTCCTCATCTTTCTCCTAATCAGCTCCTGGCACTAATCTTTAAAGGAATTTAGCAAAGGGTAATGAAAGAGAAGAAACTGAACTTTCTTCTCATTTAGCTAATGACATACTCTAGTCCAAATGCTGTTGGCATCTTCTTGAAGGTCCTTGACTATCTACTCTCAATTCATTGGGAGCTAAGGATTGTTAATTCTTAGATGAAAGCATTGGTCCGAGTAGAGAAGTCATCTGAATGCTAGATGGCTTCCTATGTGTATGTAGATATATATATCTATATACACACATATATACAAACATATATATGTACATATGTACATATACACATACACAGTATACATAAGTGTGTTAGTAGTCAATAGTGTAAAAAGACAATTTTCAGAACTTTTGATTTAGTTAAGAAAGTACGGGAACAGAATTCCTGGTTTAAAAAACAAACAAATGTAATATGAATGGCATTAACAACTTGGAAATTTATGGATTCTTTCTTTCAGAATATTCCCCCAAAGAATTTTAGTATCTATTAATATTCTTATCAACCAAATAACCTCTGAAAGTGCACTTAGGGCAGCTGGTCCAAACTATGGTGTAGTAATAGTTTCCTACGGTACAAGTCTGAGTGGGTAGAATTTTAGGAATGACTGCAGTACATGAGGAACTGTCTTCTTGTCAGAGAAGTAAAGTGTGGTTCTGGTCTCCTTGAACTGGCTGTTTACACATCCTTTTTTTCTTCCTCTTACCTGGGGCAGTAACAGCTTTCTATGTGTGTGAAGCTGCTGCTTTAAAAACTCAAAAGTCAACTTTAATTTTAAAAAGAAGCATACAAAAGATTTAAATTTTATGGTTTCATTTTAAAGAAGAGAGTTTAGGTTTAAAAAAGAAACCACAACTAGAAGCAAACAATTCTGCTAGACAACTTAATGTCACTCTTCTAGGAACTCCAAAAACTGCTTTTAAATTATTCTCTGGTTCATCCAACTTTCTCAGACTTTGGGTTGAAACATTATGTCATATTCCTTCATAGTATATTTTAAAAGAATTAAAACCCCACATTTTTACACAGTGATTTAGCACCTATAAAGGCATGTTTTACTGAAGGACTAACATTGTTCTTTTAAAGTTGGGACATAACAACAACGACAAAATTTCAATATTATGCTCAATGCATTAATTGATATGAAGAAATACAATCAAATGTTTTTCAACTTTAATGGATTGTAATTTAATATAAGTATCTTATCCAAACATAGAGCCAACTGTATCATCCACTAGAAAGGGACAAATGAATAGAAAGGGTAATTGCAAAACATAATTCAACAACTTATTTTAACCAAGAGTCTCCATCATGTCTTTCATCAGAGCCACAGCACAGGATCAAAATCAACTTTGAAAATTTCACTTCCTTTTTGTTCTTGCACAATGTAGGAGGCATCTAAAAACTTTATAAAAACCAAAAGATAGACAGTCACTCAACAATTCAATTCCTCATATTATTAAGCACTTACTAAGAGAAGATTTTGTAGGGAGAGATAGAAAATTTAAAGAAGACATAGCCCCTGCTCTCATGGAGCTTACAGTCTAGAAGTGAGATAGCAAAAGGATAGTCAGGGGATTAATCACAATAATTAACGTTAAGAAATTTATTAGTTTAACTAGAATGTCCATATCCAAGAAATTGCGTATATTTTTAAAATGATGTATTTTTTCTCTGTGATACAGAGCTGTTTTGGCTTTCCCAAAGCAATTTCCTAAGCACAATAGACTGCATCTGTCTCTGTCCCCAGTGGGGGTAAGATTAAGGGTGGTGGGTAATGGCAGGTGAAGAACTAGCAGAAATTTTGCTGCTAAAATCAAGAATCAAGTGGAAATCATTCATCAGTCACATGCCAAAAGTTCAGCACTGTGTGGTGAAATGGAAAGAAGACTAGGATTTGAGTCATAGGACCTGAGTTCAAATCCATGATCTGCCTCTTATTACATGTGTGAATGTGAGCAAGATGCCTAATTTTTCTGGGTCTCACTTCCTTTACCTGCTAGATGAAGGGGTTAGAAGTTGGACCAAATGATATCTAATATCCCTCCTGGCTTCAATGCTATTAACTTTTGATGAGTAGTCTTCCCAGTTAAGTTCATTCTCAGATTCCATTTAATTTTTTTTCTCCTCTCCTTTTGTTCTAAGGCTCTTTGTTTTTGCCTGCCTTCCCAAATTTATCCTTTCTTGACCTTATTCCCCCAACCAGATGTAGGGTATCAAATGAGCAAAGTGAAGCCCAGAGAGGTTTAATCACTTATTTAATTACTTAGTTGTTATCAAACCAATAGAGCCAGAACTGGAACCCAAGTCTCCTGACCCCTAGAAAATATTTTCTAGATTATTCTTTCTGCTTCTTGTGATAAACATTGTAAAAAAAATTCAGGTACATCAAAAATCTAACCTTTACTGAAGTATTTCCAAATGTCCAATCTACATTGATTTTCCTAATTCACTCAAGCTGTTGCTGAGACACTCATGTATTTGATAAGGACATGATACACTTCTATTTTCACTGACTATTAAGCACTATAACAATTACAACCTTCAAAGGCAATGCAAGCATTGTTCCTTATTAATTTCAATCCTCTTGGATTTCATTCACTAGACTCATGGTCAGAGTTTATACTTGTTAAAAATAAGTTCAAAAAAGGAGAGAGCATGGGCATCCTAAGGAGCTGAAGGTAATAACCAAGGCAGAAAATCACTCATGAAGAGACTTCGTTTTCCCATCCTGATCACATTCTCAAGAAGATTCCAGAAGCTGCTACCTGGTTTGATTGAGGAGTAATTCTCAAAATACTTGGCTATCTCCCTGAGGACTAGCTCTTGACACTCTATTGGGAAAACTGTTCTCTACCCCACTGCTCCTTGCATTCACATCCACAGTACAGAAGATAAGAAGCTCCAGTCTGTGTAGGCACATCCTGTATTAGTGGGTGAGACAGTTTTCCAGGCACTGAAAGATTTGCAATTTCCGTGTGAAAGGCTTTGTCTGTCAGCAATCTTCTGTGCTATTCAGTCCCCTCCTCACACCCACAGACTTCACTTTTTAAGCTTTTATTAACTTTTACTGTACTTGGATAATGAGCACATCAAAGAAAATACCACGACTTTAATTATTAGTGTCTAGGTGCCTTTGCAACATTACACAGACTCTCAGTTTCTCAAGTGAAAGCTAAATGGGTTGGTTCACCCAGGAGATATGAACTACTGAGAAATATTAACTATGCCTCTGCCCTTCTTTACAATGTGGTGATTAAAAGTTTCCTAGCCCTCCAAATGAGATTTTCTTCTGGTAAATTTCTGACACCAATAGTACACTCAATAACAAAAGATATGCCAGAATATTATCATAATCTCTAAAAAGCTGACTGGCTTGAAAAATGGAATCCTTGCAAGGAATGAAGAAATATACTTTTACAATTGAGGATTACTGAACTGATAGTCTAGGAGTTTTTATTTTAATTTTTGCTTCTTGTTATTGACTTCTTGCTGTTGCTCATTTTAAGATGCATTTACTTTTTTTTAAAAAAGTGAATTGACTGTGGATATTCCAAATGAAAAGAATCTAGCATGATCAAGAATCACAATTTTTCTTATTTTCTAAAAATTGAAAAATTAAGCATTAAAAGACCTTTTGTGAATAGTGCTAGTATACTGAATATAAATAACATTTAGAAACCCATTAAAAACCACAATTAATGAGTTAATGCTTAAGTAGGCATGCATAGGATTAATGCTATTATGAACCATACCTACATTTTCTATGTCATCATTTAGTTTCTAAAAGGTCAGGCTAAAAAGCCATAGTATGAAACAAGCAATAGTATGTCATCCTTTTAAAAATTTATTTTGCAATTGCTATTCTCCCATTTCAGTGCAATTAAAGACTGTATGTTCTAGTTCTTACCAGAGAGTTGGCAAGTCTGACTACAAAAACTAGAATATTTTTATGTTCTTGTAATCCATACTTGGTACATCATCCAACAATTTTGAAGAATAAAGTGGCTATCCACCATTGATAGAGGTTACTTGATTTATTTTGGCTATGAGCTGATAGCCCATTGTACTTCTGTTCTTTTCATGTTTTAGCAAATATCACAACCATTTTCCCCCATCGACACTTAATGTAATCATACATACCACAGTTTGGTGATTGACTTGAATCACTTCATCGCCAGCATGGATTTTCTTGCATCGATCTGCAGGTGACTAAATTAAAAATAAGAGAAATGATAACATGATTGTTATTGGTTGTTACCTTTCTCTCCAAATTTAAAAAAAAAGGCTTTTTTGAGGAGGTTGGAGGACACTTGTGATTTCTCTGAAGGATCTCTTTCTATCACTCTGGATGATGAACTCTTCTGCAACACAGAATCTTAGAAAGTTGTGTGGGGCAATGGGTTGTTAAGTGATTTACCTAGGGTCACATAGTATGTGTTAGAGACTAGACTTGAAACCAAGACTTCTGAACCCCACAGCCAGATCTCTTTACTATACCATCTTTCCTTCCTTTCTAAAAGGATGAAAATAAGAGTACCAGCCCTGGAATCAGGAGGACCTGAGTTCAAATCTGGCCTCAGATGCTTAACATTTACTAGCTGTGTGACCCTGGGCAAGTCTCTTAACCCCATTGCCTAGCCAAAACAAAAAAAAAGCACAAAAATAAAACAAAAACAAAAAAAGAATGAAAATAAATCTCCTTTTCATTCAACTATAGAAATATATCTATACCAATATTTCAAAAATGATTTTATTCATCATTTCCACTCTAAGGAAAATATTCACTTTACATTACTGACAGGAAGCAAAAATGCTAAACTAGGAACAAGTATTTGTTATCAAAGATAACCAAGTTTCTTAATGTTCTTTTCTAGTGGAGAAATGGTAATCGTATTAATATTTACAAACCTTACACATTCAACCTTTGAAGCCTCCACCGCAACATAAATATATTTCAAAACATTGTGTTTTATATGTTTTGATCCTTGTTATTTAGCATAAGTAATTCAAGTGAACTTCAGCAAATCAATATTTTCAAAAGTGCATACGTGCATGAGTAGTACCCAGGCTTTGGAGACTAGATAATTAAATTGCTAACTTATTGCATCATTAATAGCACCAGTACTGAAAAACCTAGAGGAAATAAATTAAAATATGAAGAGGCAGGCCTAGGTCCCTACCTTTGAGATGAGCTCAAAGCTATACTTTGTAGTATATAACATTTTCTCTTTAAATGTCTAATTACATTATATTGTTCCTTACAATTTTGATGTTTTTAATATATTAGCAAATAAAACCAAAAGAAATGAATTAAGATAACATTTCCACTGAATTCAGCAATCTCTTAATTGTTCTCTCTATTCTTATATGGGGTAAGTAAAAGAAGGCTAATAGCACCAACAATAGGGTTCTTATCCTGTTTCCCGTCATGGACCGCTTTGTTAGTCTGGTGAAACTTATGGACCTCTTCTCAGAATAATGTTGGTTGCCTTCATTCACGATGGAAGGAAATGTTAAAATTTAGTTAGAGATTACTGAAAAAAAGATGTAATTTTTCCCATCATGTTTCATTTTTCTCTGGAAAATAAGTACAGAATTTAGTGTATGAACTTCATAATTGTGTAGGTTTTGTGAAACGAGATTTAGGGGGTTAAATTATGGCCCTTCAAGGTATAGTACTCAGACTTTTTTTTCAGATAAGCTCAGTAGTTCTTACTCTGCATCATTAAAATCTTTTAATAACTATATCAACATAATTGCTTCCTTTGTAATCCTAACTATTTTATTTTATTCATTTAAAACAATACCCCAAGAAGAGGGTCATAGGCTTTGCCAGACAGTCAAAAGAGTACATGATACACAAAGAGGTTAAGAATCCCTGGCTTTAGAACAACAAGGTTTTAGAGCAGAGGTTCTTAACCTGGGGTGCATAGAACTTTTACTTGTGGACAGATTTCAGTGGAGAGCAATCCATGAACTTGGATGGAAAAAAAAATTACATTTTAATTTTGATTAATCTCTAACTGAAAATTTTCATATCTTTCAATTATTTAAAAACTTCATTCTGAGACAGGATATATAGGTTTCACCAAACTGACAAAGGAGTCCCTGACGCAAAATAATTAAGAATCCTTATTAGCTTAATAAGTCTTTATGAAGTGAAAAAAACAACCAAAAATATAGGTAGCATTAATAGTCAAAATGTGTGAGTGCTATAATTTTAAAAGTTAATACTTATTAAAAGACATTTTAGTGTGAGATATCCCCTAGAAGTCTATAATTATCTATTGTTTCAATGGTGTGGCAAGCATCTCCAAAGAAAATAATTTTAATTAATCAAATATTAAGAATAAATATCATGAAATTCCCCATAAGCTATTTACCTTGGTTATAAGACCTTATCCAAAGGATTTAGATAGTGAAATACTCATATTGCTTACTATTAAGCAGTTTTGCCTAGAAGATGATCTCAGTTTAAACCAAAGGCTTTAGCTGTAAAATCAAAAAACCATTTCTGGCCCCAGAATTTGGGGGGTGTTGGTAGAGGGAGCACATCATCATTAACGTACAATTCATTTCTGTGTAACATCACAAAACATAACAGAAGAGACATTGTAGAGCCAGCATAGAAAGAGTAGAAACTGAAATATCTTCCTGAATTTGAAAAGTGTTTATGTTTAACTAGAAGAGTAGTATATTGTACAAATTGCTTTAAAAAAATCAAAATATTCAGCTTTCCTATCATGAGACCTATCAATCAGTGACACAAACTTAAAATATTAAAGACATTAACTGAATTGCTATAAAACTGTATTACATATTGTATGAATGATAAGAAATAGGGGAAATATTTGAAAAATTATTTGAAAAATACATGTAAAACATGAAAATACAATAAATAGAATTTTAAGAAAACTATAAACTCAAGAAAACAAATTCTGGGAAAATGTTGAGGAAAGGTACTAACTAGAGATTTTATTATGCATGTCTCAAGCTGGTTGCATAAACATTTACGGTGATTTAGCTAAGTCTTAAGAGAAAAATAAAAAAAAAACAACTTTGAAAGACAGTTCTTCCTTAAAAAGGGAGTAAAGTGAAAAGGAGAAAAATAAATATGCGTTACAGTGGTTATATCACCCCATCAATGTTGTATTACTTCAAGTGATATAGAAGATAATAAATAAAAATTTTTAATTGTCTACCCTCTGAAATTTCTATTTGACTTCTAGTTATAGATTCACTTCTACTTTGTGTTGTACATATTTTCTTGAGCTTACCTTCAGATATTTGAGTTACCTGACAGTCTTTCTTGCATAAATTGTTTTATCACAATATTAATACATTTTATAGAATTAAAAATAATGTATTCTTATTATTATTTTCTAAGTCACACTTATCTATAATACATCTCTAAGATAAGTCACACAATGGAAGAAATGTGTTTGCTTTGTTTTAAGTAAATAACAGGCTTAAACTAGAATGAAAAATAACTGAAAAGCACTTGGGACCAACACCAATTTAGTAAACAGTTTTTTGGACCTCTTAATCTATCCTATTATTTAAAAGCTCACCCCAAATCACAGTAGTTTATTTAAGAACAGAAGAGGAAAAAATTTTCTGGGCCTGGACAAATTCTGCAATACTTACATTTTCAGTGGTTCCAGTAATTACATGGAGGCCATCATATGTTGATTTAATGTACATACCCTAAGAAAAAGACACCATCAGAAACCATTTTTGAAGTATTTGGAAAATTTCTGAGCAAAACAGAATTTCACATATGAAAAAGTTCAGTAATGGAATAAAACTTATCACATGCCTTCTTGAGTCCAGACTGCTATCATTAATATGATGAGGGAACCCTATATCTGAAGATGTGGGTTTCTAGAGTTCACTAGAATGAATAAGAGAAGACTGCAGCTAGAAAAGGTAACTACTTGACTTGAATTTCATTTGTTATAAATGACTTTTTTTGTAGTAGAACTGAAAGGTTATCACCACTTGGGTTTCCTGCATGTCTTTTTCAAACCAGCAGAATAATTGTGATATTTCTGCAGTAAGAAAGCTAAGTACCTCATAAGACAAGACAAAGGTCTGTGTCATTTAGAAAGCCACTTACATTCTTTGGAAAAATAAATATTACAATGGGAGATTCTAAATCTAGTCCCTTATCAGCTCGTTGTACTTGGGAGCCACGTATAGACTCTTACAGGAACACAGCAACTGCTTCATAGTGACACTTGGATAGCAGCTATTAAGAGGCAAATGAGTACTTCATGGGCCCTTTGACACCATTTATATCTATTTCCTTTTTTATTTCTTGCATCTTCATGCAAAAAAAATTCATTCATAAAGTTCTGGTAAACTTCTGGAAAAGTGCTCTTCTGGTGCAGGATCATAGCATTGAGATTCTCAAAGGCTATTGCCAACAGAATGCAAGCACAAGAAGCTCTTGAAAAGATCTCAATATTTTAAATACAGCTTCTGTGTACTGACTTTGAAACAGAATTTAGATCTGTTATTGGAGGGCCATTAAGTAGAGTGAGTCATTAGAGATTGTTTTTGTTAGCCACGGCAATTTTTGAAGAGCATACACCAACTCACAGAGAAGGAGCAGTGGGTGATACAGTGAATAGAGCCCACCATCTAGTCAGGAAGACTCATCTTCCTGGGTTTATACCTGGCCTTAGACACTTACTAGTTGGGCAAGTCACTTAACCCTGGCTTCAGTTTCCTATTTGTAAAATGAACTGGAGAAAGAAATGGCAAACACTCCAAGAAATTCAAAATGCTTTCATGAAGAATCAGACACAGCTGAAAAATGACTGAACAAACAAAAAAAGAAGGGACTATCCAGATCAATAAGTATTAATGTATACTTTTATCTAGGACAAGATAGAAGGTAAAGTTTCACTCAAATAAGATGGATGGGGACATTTAAATAAGATTCAGTTTGAAATGAAACTGCAAGGCATAGCAAAAACAACTTTGGAAAGGAGAGTCCAAAGGATTTTACAGAAAATTAAATTTGTGAGGAACTTGTTAAGAAAAGATAAAATTAAAAAGTATAACTGATAATGAATCTTTTAAACATGTATTGAGGTTATTAGCATTTAAAATGTGGAAAGAAGGAACTCATGATTTGTTTCTTTTCACATTTTAATTAAGTATTCTAGTTTTAAATTATTTTAATTATCAGGGTTATTAAAGGTTTATTAGAAAAAGAAAGAATAGTTTTTTCCCTTTCAGTAAAGATCCCATTACTTAAAATTAATTTCTTCTTGAAGAAATATGTCTTAAGATTCCTACCTGAATAAACCGATTATACTTTCAATCATTTAGAAATGAGAAAGAATCTTCAAGGACAGTTAAAAACTGGCATAAAGGGAATGTTTTGGAGACAAGTTTTCAGAAACGCTATGTATTTAGCTATTCTAAAAAGCAAATAAAAACAAACACATGTTTCCTAACCTCTATAACTATAGATTCCTTTTTTTCCCCACTTGACCTGTGATTTCATTAGTGTAGGAGTTTCATACCCAGAACTTATCTCTATGAACATAGATTAGTACCTGCTCTACCAAAGGTCACTGCCTTCTCTACCAATTTAGAGTCATTGAAAGCAACTGAGAGATTAAGTGACTTGCCCAGGATCACAGAGACAAGTGTGGAAGAGGAACTTGAACCCAGGTCCTCCTGACTTGGAGGCCAACTCTGTCCTTTGTGCTAAAATGCCTAATATGCTGCAGATGAAGCCTGAGTAATCAGTCTCATTTTGGGCCAGAGACAATCTTGGGTTCTCAAAGGCAGAGTGAAAGCTCTAAGTCTTACCATGGAATGACTTTCTATGTAGATTTTAGGTCTGTTTGAAAACCATCCTGGATAACATACAGGGCTGAACGTGAGCTTGACTACAGGGGAATTAAATTTTTAATGACAGGAATTCTTAGAAGATCAGTTATTAAGCTATAGAAGGATTATGATCTGTGTTGGTGAAGGAAACATTCATACTAATAAGAAAATAGTAATAACTAGCATTTATATGGTACTTTAAGGTTTGCAAAGCTCTTTACATATGTTATCACATTTGATCCTCGTAACAACCCTGGGAGGTAGGTGTTATTATTATTATTTCCATTTTACAGGTAAGGAAGGTGAGGTTGACAGTAACTTGCCCACAAGGTCATGTAGCTAAGTCATTGTTTAAGTTGGAATTTGAGCTGAGGTCTTCCTGACTCCATGTCTAGCACTCTATCCACTGCACCATCTATTTGCCTCAGAGTATTGATACTTGAAAATAGGGGAGTATTATAGTCTTTTAATAGCCATCTAGTACTTCAATGAATAGAGCTCAGGGTTTGGAATTAGGAAAACCTGGGTTCAAATCTGGCTCCAGACACTTACTAGCTGGGTGACCCTGGGCAAGACACATTCTTTGTTTGCCTCAGTTTCTTCAACTGTTAAATGAGAATAAGAATAGTACTTACCTTGCAGGGTTGTTGTGAGGATCAAATGAGGTAATATTTATAAAAAGGGTTCAACGCAGTTGGAACATAGTGGGTTCTATGTAAATGCTTCTTCCCTTCTGTCTTTTCCTTCCCAACCAGAGTAAGACAGTTAGGCTGCACCTGGGAGAGTAACTCGCCCTTTTCTCCCTCCCACCTTTCTCTCTGGAGAGGTAATCTGCCACACCCCATGCTACTTTCACCTCCGTGTTACCCCATGTTATTTTAAGCTTTGGGATAATACAATGACTTCCCAGGTCCACATAGTTCCCTGGTCTGCTATTCCAGGGAGTTTATGTTCATTGAAAAGTTAGGAATACAATCACAGTTGTTCAGAGGCCCCAGGTGGGGGAAATCCCTAACATTTAGGGAGAGGTTCAATTCTCTGCTTTAATTTAATTTTATGTTTATCCCTAGCCAACCTGTGACATCTTTGTGATTGAGGAATAATCCAGATTACTGGAAACATTTAGGTAAAGAAGCTAGCAGAATATGTTATAGTGTCTATTAGTGAATAGGCACCAAAAGGGGAAGTTGAGAGATAGAAAAAACTCTTTTTAAAAAAACTCTTCTCAGTACTTGAAGAAACGCGTATAACTGGCAGCTTCAGCCTGAGTCTTCTGCTGCAAGTGCCTTTAGGACTGATGGCTCTCCTCAATGTGTCCATTCTTTGCCACAGTTAATTCTGTTTTTTTTTTCTCTCATAACCGGTAGCCATTATGTTGCTGATTTTTTTTCAGCTCAGTTCTTGCTCTTGTATTCCTCAGTCCTTCCTTTCCCCTGATAGGTTCCAATTCCAAATTAACTTGCTGCTTTCATACAAGCTTGTCAGGACACAAACAAATCCCTCAATCAATATAAACAGACTTTCTATTAGAACTAACAGTGTTTCCAGGATTTGTTCAAATCTAGTTTACATATCTTTAAGATCCAGTCAAGATACGGCCTCACGTGATAAAGACACCAGGGCTAGGTTGATCAATAAACCATCATTTTTACATTAAACATAATTATTTTATGATTCCAGACCTTAAAAAACCAATAACTGTAATGAAGAAAGAGAATTCTGATCATATTAGAAAGCTAGAAATTGCTTGTTGCCAGAGGATGCTTTTTAATAACAGTGTATGAAACTGACCTTGAAGTTGAATACTGTATTTCAGGAGCAAAACAAAAATATTCAAAACTTTTTATTTTAATGGTCATCTGGCTAAATAAAGAGTTTGATCCTAGACAGCTTTCAAGTGCAATAGGAGACAGGAATAGTACAAATCAATTCATGCCCAGAGAATCAAAATAAGTTGTTTTAATTGGATACTTTAATTCCACCCCTCCTTATCAAACTATCTATTAGATCTGCTAACAAACAAAACCGACTTATCTGAATTCCTTCTTTTTTTCCCTCCTCTCTTTTTTCCTCCTTCCTTCTGTTCTTTTTTCTTTTTCTTTCTTCTTTTCTCTCAATCTCTCTCATTCTCTCTCTCTCTCTCTCTCTCTCTCTCTCTCTCTCTCTCTCTCTCTCTCTCTCTCTCTCCTCTCTCTCTCCCTCCTTCTCTCCCTTCTTCCCTCTCTTTTTATCTCTTATTCTCCCTGTGCTAGTATATGCTACTACTGTGAGTTTCAAACACGACAATCAGTCATTAGTGGAGATTCCTCTACAACACACCTGGAGACTTGCTTACCCACTTTAGAGAAGGTGGCCAATAGCATTGCTTGCTGCATGAGGAAATACCCTTAAATGGCTTTGTTTCTAGGACCAATGTGAATCTGATCACCCTTCTCATCCTTGCATTGGAGATCAAGACCCTCATCTCTCTTCTTTCATTATCTTAAGTTTCCCTTTTCCTTCTTGCCTAGCATGCTGAATTTAATTTCTGATTCTGTTAGTTCTTTATCCAAATTTCAGGTATTCAGAAATAGCCAAAGCAAACACATGCCAATCAAATGATTAAGTCATACGGCTAATCTAATCCTGAGATCTTAACCTTTTATGTGTCACTGACCCCTTTGGCTGTCTTCAATATATGATGAAAGACTGATTAACTTGGTCTTTTTGGTACTAAAGAGAAGAACCAGGAGCAATAGAAAAATGGTGTTAAGAAGCAAATTTCAACTTGATGTAAGGAGATTCTTTCTTAAAGTTATAGCTATTTAAATGTAGAATAGGCTGCCTTGAGAGGTAGTGGTTTTCTCTCTCATTCAAAGTCTTCAGGCAGAGGCTGGTTATCCTCTTATTGTCTGTCCTACACTAGCTATTCTATTTCAGGTAATTGTTGAAGTAGCTGGCTGAGTATTAGTTGCCTTGGAAATCACCTCTTGACTACCTGCCCAGAAAGAATATCAAGTGATTTGAATATTAAAGAATACTGGTTTAATTTAGTGTACTTTCATGGAGTAGAATGGACTGGTTAAAAATAAAACAAAAACACAATCATGTGGATTAATACTATTATTGTACTTATTTATAAACTTCCATTTGCCCTAATGTAGGGGTCCTTTTGGTGCTAGAACAACATGAAAAAGCCAATCTTTTCCCAAACTTTCCCCCTCAAAACATTTCCCCAGTGCTCTGCACAGTGCCTGGCCTGACTGATTGGCAAACTGGGGAAATCTAAAAATCACTAAGTCATTCTCTCTCCCTTCCATCTACAGAGAGTGTCACATCAAACTCCTGATATCTTAGCTCTACTATTCTCATCCCACTTCTCTTATAATTGACAGAAGTCCATACTGTAGACTTTTTGCCAAAAGTATTAACTAATTGCTCATGGAGGATGGTTTTAATAAACTGCGTACTTCTTACCAGCCCTTCACTTGGCTTGATATTTGCTAGCTGGATCACTTCCAGGTGAGCAGACTGCGAAACCAGGGGATCAGACGAAAGGGAGATAATGTGGTCACAGACTCCAGAAAGTGTTTTACACTGAAAGCAAAAAGAAAGATTAGGATAAACATTCCAGATAAATGACAAAACATATGAAATAACTGCCTACCTTACTCAAATTTTTTCTTCAAGAAAACAAGAGCAATCAAGAAAAGACAGCAAGTGATATCCATCCATCCTTCATTACCTTTTGAAGTCATATTGTTTCTGCATAAAGTTATACAGGGAGAATGGACTGCACATTATATCAATGTACAACATAAAGCAACATAAAAGAGGTTCATGGCAGTTTCAAGAGATACACTCAGCTGCTTAGCTAGTTATCCTTTTCTCTAGTTAGAAGGCAGTCAAAACGTTGCATTCTAAGTACTTCTTGTCTAGCAGTGTTTTGTTTATAACATACACAAAATAAAGTTATTGATCTCAAAACCCAATGCCAATATAAATACTAAAGTTCATTAATCCTATCTTGTTCCCTTTGACCGGTACAATGACCAGGAAGTTTTCATCCAAGAATAAAATGGATAATAATGATAATAATAATAGTATATTTGCTTAAAATATGCAACACTATGTAATATAGGTTGTGAGTATTTAATAGCCTCTGAGCTAGTATCATATGATAGCTCCAAAATTTCTACCATTCCTACAACATTTTTCCCCCAGGATGGTTCAATCACACATTTTTGTATTCTCTTAGTCACACTATATACTACTCTAAATTGCTGAAGATAGATTTCTAAAAGTCAGAGAGGTAGTCATCAATTTGGAAAATATACCCAATCCAAAATAAGAGAACCAATTTCTTACAGTTAATTTAAAAATTATATAAACAGGAGCTTCTGAAATATTTACTTGTAAATACCCATGGAATGCTGCCAAGATAGTTAGAATTAATCTTTAATCTATAGTTATTGTTCCAGGGAATTTAATCACTTCAGGGGCTGTATGTGTTTATATGTTCTAAAAATTAATACTACAATAACATTTTGGTTTTAGCCAAATGAGGACATATCAAAATAGAAAAAAATATGGTAATGTATTCACATATTCCACAGGGACGTGGTAACCATATATTTAGATTTAAGTGAGTAGGGTGGACTATAGTGCCTTAATACTAGGATTTAATTGTGATGGATGCTCATGAGTGTTGGGATGGAATGCTATTCATTTTACAAATCATTGTTTTAAGTACCATGTAGGTCAATTAACATTCCTCTTTTGAAAAAGACTAATTAAAAAAGAGTTTTCTTGAACTGCATGCCTCTTATCTTGATTTGAAATAGTTTTCTGCATGCTGTCTACTCTTTCAATAAAACTTCCAGAACAGTAACAAAATATTAAAACAGTAACAAAAATATTTTAAATATATTTAATCCTTTACTGAAGTTGGGAAGAGAATCTATAGTACTTACTACGTGTCAGGCACTATACAAAGCACTTCTACAGCTCTCTCATTTGACCTGCACTACAGTCATGAAAGGTAGATGTTATTATTCCCATTTTACAGTTGAGGAAACTGAGGCAAAAAGAGGTTAAGTGACTTACCCAAGATCACCAATCTAGTAAATGTCTGAGGTGAGATTTGAATTCAGGTTTTTCTGATTCAAGGGCCAACACTCTATCCACCTTGTCACCTAATTGCTTCTAGGGAACTAAGTCAACTAAAGGAAGCAACATATCCTTGCCACACTCTTCAGTCCTGGCCACTCCTTTCAACACACCTCTCAACACACAGGATCAGGAGGAGGAATCAGCATACTCCATTTAACCACTAATATTTTTAAATTCTCTGTCTGTGCCACCTCTACTAATTTGAAGTTCATACCTTTTAATTACATCATTCCATCCAGATTTTTCTTGTTAACCTCCAGTTCACTCCCCTTCTGGACTTAATAAATCCAGTTCTTGACTCATAATCTTCCTTTCCATTCCAACATTCACCAACGGCAACTTCCAGGTCATAAACCAACTCAACTTCAATGACTTTCATATCTGTCCCACCCAAGCTTATGCCTTACCCACATCTAATTGGCCTGATTAAGAGAATTTGGCCAATAGAGTATCACAATGAATTCAATTTGGTGCCTAAAATAATCCTAACTCTTGTTTTAAGACAACCAAGTGAAATTATATGTGTTAGATAACAAGCAAATTATATTTCTATAGAGGTTTTTTGGTAAATATGTTAAAGTTAGCCCAGGATCCAGAAAGGTTCTAAATAGTTAGTGTAGGATAGGAGGTAATATAGAATATTCTCCACCTCAAAGGGCTCCACAACTACGTTTTAACTGTATTAGAGGAGTCCAATAACATAATCATGAAGATTCAAAATAAAAGATGAAAGTATATGTACAGATGGATTTCCTTTCTGGAGGAGACAGTGGCTACCTATACCTCAAAGTATGAAAATCAGTCAAGTAAGGAGTGACGAAACCAAAAGACTATGAATAGAAACATGAAAAAAGTTATGAAAGGTGAAGCATTTAGAAAACACAGCCTGGAGCCAGGAATAGTAACTCCGCAGGTAAGAGAGGCCTCTCTGTTTTCAAGATAGCAAATAATAAACACTTAGGATATTCCAGGCAGGCAAGACAGGATAAAAATGAACCTGACTAGTGACTCCACAAGAATACTGGCAGATTCCTAGTTCAAGTAAAAACAATTGCTAATATTTGACTACCTCCTGACTGCTAAGAAAAAGATCCAAAGAAAAGAGTTAAGCATATAATGAAAAATACTATAGCATTTATGCTATTTATGTAAGTGTTATTTATTTTACTGAGAGGATATTTTATAGCTGGTGAATGAAATGATAGAAGTGGATTTCTATCCATATGATAGATATAGATCGATTTCTACCCATATCTATCCATATGATAGAAAGTAAAATGTGAATGCATGAGCTATGGGAAACGGGCATGTAGATATTTACACATAACCATGTCTATTTAAATAAATAGCAATAGCTAAAGAAGGGAATGTTGAGTATGCCAAAAAAAGGGTACTCCAGACTTTTTAATAAATCAAATTCTGTGGATCTCTCCTTTAGCCTTATTACATTCTAGTTTGTATCAGGCTTATTTATATAGATGTAGCACCTACCCCATTGGATTGGAAACTCTTTAGGGCAGGGACTATATTGTTTATAATTAGAAACATAGCTATGTTTGTATCTCTATATGAAATATAGCTATCAAATGTACATGCAAGCACAGCAACATACATGCGATACATATCCCATAAACAATGTTATGCATGCATATATGTGTTGTAAGGATCACATGAGATAATAATTGTAAAGTTCTTAGCACAATGCCTTAGCTATTAGCCAACTACTATTGTTGTAGTAATTGTTATATAGCCACCTTATAAAAAGGTTCTTTTGATGTTTCAATAAATCTAACTCTAGAGATGGGGTCTGAGATGGAGCAGCCAGATACTACTAAATTATACACACAGAAAAGTTGCTATTGCATACCCTAAGCTCTTATAACATGTAATCAACCATGATAGCTTACATTTATATAGCATTTTAAGGTTTACAGAGTGCTTTGCACATGTATCTCTTATTTAATCCTTACAACAACCCTGAGATGTTACAAATGAGCTTAACAAAAATGACAATGTTGATAATATTTAATAATAAATACAACTTGTTTGGTTCATTGATTAAAAGATTTTCAGTGAAAAGGAAAAAAAAGAAATAATGTAGAAATTGTAGCAAAACACCAATTTAAAGAAATTCTAATGATTTGGAGAATTTTATTTTATTTAAAAACTGCTAAATCTGCATTTTTATGTGAGATTATATACTTTAGGTGACACACAGAGTATAATTATGGCAGGGCCTTTTAATAATTAGAGCAATTTGGAATGCCACTCATGCTGGGACTGTGTTCCCTCCTTACTTCTGTCTCTTAGAATTCCTAGGTCTTTCAACACCCAGCTCAAGTACCACCTTTCATGATCTCTCAGGCTTCTAGTGACTCCCACTTTCTAGCCTCTGGCTAAATTACTTTGTGTTTATTTTTTATGTATTTTCTATAGCTGTACACATATATGTGTGTATATATGTGTGTGTGTCTATATGTGTGTATACATATACATGTAGACATGTGTGTGTGTGTGTGTGTGTCTGTGTGTCTGTGTGTGTGTGTGTGTGTGTCCCTCTATAGAACCTAAGCCCTTTGAGGGCTGGAACTCTTACACAGAGGCTTTGTATCTCTAGTATTTAGCATATTGCCTTGCTCAGAGTAGGTGTTTAATAAATGCTTGTTTATTGATTTAGTACCATTGTGTAGCTGAGATGGGGCATTTCAACTCAGGAATGACTAGAGGGAGATGGTGGTATTGTGGAAGGATTCTGTGGTAAAAAAGAGCAACAATGCCAAAGTAAGTAGGCAACTCTGGACCATAGGATTCTTGTAGGTGAAAGTAATCCCTTGATCCAAGTGGTCAATGCACTGAGATCTAAGCTGAAGGAAGAATATAACTGGACAATCCCTGTTCTTCAACTTGACAGACAGCATTCAAAAGAAGAATGGCAGAGAGTGTGTGGGTGAATAACATCATTTGTCAGACTGTGGTTTCTAAAGGTGACTAAGAAATTGATCAAACATAGAAAATGAGTATTGTTGGAGCAGTTTCAATGTTACTTTGTGATTAGCTCAGACTAAGTATTTCACATTCATTAAATGGCATTAATTAGTGTTATTTGTTGTTCATTATTGTCATTTCAGTAATGTCCAACTCTTTGTAACCTCATTTGATTTTTTTTGGGGGGGCAATTGGGGTTAAGTGACCTGCCCAGGGTCACATAGCTAGTAAGTGTCAAGTGATTGGTCTGAGGCCAGATTTGAACTCAGGTCCTCCTGACTTCAGGGTCGGTGCTCTATCCATTGTGCCACCTAGTTGCCCTGATTTGATGTTTTTGTGACAAAGACACTGGAGTGATTTGCCATTTCCTTATCCAGCTCATTTTATGATGAGAAAACTGAGGCAAACAGGGTAAAATGACTTGCCCAAGGTCACACAGG